CCCCCCCTACCACATCAACTCCATCTCCGTCAACAGCGACTATGAGACCTACATGTCAGCTGATGACCTGCGCATAAACCTGTGGAACTTCGAAATCACCAACCAAAGCTTCAGTATCCTCGGGCTGGCGGCTTCACTACCGGGCTTGTGGCGTGCTGGCGGCAACGGGTTCAGCTCAGTGGGATGCAGTGGAGGACAAGGCTTAGGAGACAAGAGGGCTCCGAGCAATAGGGACCTGCAGGGCAGCAAGCAGCAGGGGCGGTTTGGCTGGCACTGTGGGGGACCCCTGAGAGCTGCTGTGGGTGACCTGCGATGTGCAGAAGCTGCAACAGTCCTGGGGAAAAGGAGGGAGCAGGCGGGATGCGGTGGCCGATGCCTCCAGGAGCCCCCTCAGAGCCGGGCTGGAGCGGGCTCAGGGAGGGCGTCCCTGTGGGCTGGGGTGCTCGGGGCCCCACGGGGTGCAGTGACGCTCCCTCCTGCAGTAGCGCCAGGGGCAGCCGCAGGGCACTGCCCAGAGCGCAGGTTTGAGCTGTTCTCCCCTAGGCTGAGCTGGGAGGCTGGATGTGTGATTCACGGGGTGCACAGGAAGGGCTGCGGGGCCGAGTCCTGGGTTTGGGGGACTGTCACGGGGCTGCACATCGCCCTTGACTCACCGCAGACATCGTGGACATCAAGCCAGCCAACATGGAGGAGCTGACAGAGGTGATCACGGCGGCCGAGTTCCACCCGCACCACTGCAATGCCTTCGTCTACAGCAGCAGCAAGGGCACCATCCGCCTGTGCGACATGCGCGCGGCGGCGCTCTGCGACCGGCACGCCAAGTGTGAGTACCGGCGCTGGGCCCCCCTGCCGCCCTGCGCCCGTCCCCACGCCGGGTGCAGCGATTGCAAAGCGCTCAGCATGCGCAGCTTTCCTTCCCTCTTCGGTCCTGCACCTTCTGGACATCAAGCTGGGTATTAAAAAAGGGCCATTTTGGCATAGATACAGAAGTGTCGTGCTGGTGGGTGATGACCGCAAGGCAGCAGGTCCCAGGGCACAGAATCATGCCTGGGATTTTGGGCTTAGGGCATGAAACCAAAGGACGGGATGAGCCCCAATGACCCCCTGCCTGTCCCAGCCCCAGGACAGAGGCGTTGGCAGTGGCTGGACTGAGCTCTGGAGCGGGGGTCGAGCTGGCAGGGCAGGTTCCAGCCGAGCTGCCAGTGGCAGCGCTGCTGTGGATGGAGCCGGATGGAGCCTCCCGCTCCTGCGCCCGGCCCTGCTCCAGGGCTAAGCGCATCAAGGAGCCAGCACTGCTCCTTCTCCTGGCATGGTGGTTTTGGTGTTCCCCTCCGCTGGGTGCTGGTGCATCCCACAGCAGCTCCACAACCACTCCCTGGACATCTGTTATGGATTTCCTCCATCCCACAAGAGCACTGGCAGTGGAGCTGCAAGTGATCCAGTTCATCAGGGCACAAAATGAAAAGCAGCTTCTGGAAATGAAGTCTCCAATGGAGGCATTTAATAACCACCAATATTTAATAAACCCGCAGGTGACATCCCTGCACACCCCAGTCATGATATTTAGACAGATGCAGCTTCTGCCCTGGGCAGCGCTCCCTCATGTGCAACCCTCGTTCAA